CCCACACACCCCCACACACCCCCACACACAGGGTACCGGCCTCCCCTCCCTTGAACAAGTGTGTGACGGTATCTTGTGTCGCCAAGCAGGCTCTGCCTTCATCTGTAACCAGCTCTCTACTGCCAGTGGAACCTGCTGTGGGAACGGAAAGGTGAGTACTTCATTAGAATACTCATCTATCAACGCTCATCACTCTAAACTCAAATGTCATCGTTCAACACTCATCACTCAAAAAACTCAAATTCCATCTACCTACACCCAACACTCAACTTTCAAAACGCAATACTCAACTTGCATCTTTCAACACTCAAAAGTTAATTTTTATATTTCAACATTCAAAACTCAACTTCCATCTTTCAACACGGATCACTCCAAACTCAACTTCTATCTTTCAACACTCTAAACTCAAATGTCACCGTTCAACACTTATCACTTTAAAAAACTCAACTTCCATCTACCTACACCCAACACTCAATAACTCAACTTTCAAAACTCAGTTCTGAACTTTCATCTATCAACACTCAAAAATTAATTTTTATGTTTCAACATTCAAAACGCAACTTGCATCTTTCAACACTCAACTTTCAACACTCATCACTCTAAACTCAGCTTTCATTTTTCAACACTCAACTTTAAAGACTCAATACTCAAAACTCTTCTTCCATCTTTCAACACTTAAAACTCTACACTAAACTTTCATCTTTCAACACTCAATACTCAACGTCCATCTTTTAACACTTAAAACTCAAAATTCAACTTCCATCTTTCAACGCTGATCACTCCAAACTCAACTTCCATCTTTCAACTCCCAACACTCAACACTCAACTTTCAAAACTCAATTCTCAAAACTCAACTTTCATCTTTCAACATTCAAAATTCAACTGGCAGCTTTCAATACTCATCACTCCAAACTCAACTTCCATCTTTCAACACCCAACACTCAACACTCAACTTTCAAAACTCAACTTTCATCTTTTAACACTCAAAAGTCAACTTTCATCTTTCAACACTGATCACTCACGTGGTCTAAACCATTGAATACAGTTCCTACTCATCTTTCCCTCTCATAACTCCCCCCTTCTTCATTCCTTCCTTCCTTCCTTCCGTTTTGCCAGATGTGTAAGGCAGGACGGTGCCAGGCCGCTGAATCTGGGCAATGTGTCATGGACGGTTCGTATTATCCCCAGATTTTGCTATTTCAATTATTTTTTAATTA